CCCTCAACCCCATAAACTGCTGCATAGCACTGGTGCTCTGTACACTGGATTTGAGATGCTTTGATAGTCTTGGGGTTGAGAGGCACTATTAAAATTTGTATGCGTTTTTTTTGGCTGTTTTAGAAGTGATGCCTTGTTAAACTGAATTTTTTAAAATGACTGACTAATTTCTATAATATTCCAGTACTTGATAGAGAGAGAAGCCTTTAAATAGGATGTCCAGATTTTTTTTTTATTTTATTTTTTTTTAATTTGCAACAAAATTTATAACCAGAAACAGAAAAATGCTCCCATGAAATGTACCAGGATATCTTCAGTATCAGTAAAGGAGATATGGACGATGCATGAAGTGCTGTCAAATGTATAAAGTAAAATTGAAAATAGACACTTTTTTTTATTTGTAAGGATTGTGTTCACAGTAGGTACACACTTTAGACAGTGTATTTTTCATGTAAACTGCTGTATTCTGTCTGTGTACTTCACTTTTCATTCAGAATTAGAACGCTTACCAATTCTTATTATGAATTACAGCTGTTTGGGCCATGTCTTAGTTGTATTCACTTATTGCTTTAAAAAAAATTAAAAGCTCAAGTGACCCTCTCCCTCCCCCGTCATCTTCAATGGAGATATACAAACATATGTTGTTAGTCTTACATGCCTTATCATCTATCAGCTCTGTCTACAGTTACAAAGGAAGCTGTCGCCGCCTCTTCCTTCAGTTTGATTTCAGCAGAACGATTTACAGAAAATAAGTGCACAAAAGAGTAGCCTTACAAAAGAGTACTTCGTAGCTCTTGCGTATTGTGAACTTCTCAGTACAGTATAGTTGCATACTATGCAAACAGCAGGCAAATAAGCAACCTACAATAAGCTGGAATTGAATCAAACTCTGATGAAAAATGACCTCTTGCCCTTCCTGTTTTTGTTGCTTCCTTGCTTAACTGTTAGAACTGCTGTAATCATTTCTGAAAAGTTTGGCTATTTTTTAAATACATAGTTTTCATGAGCAATTACAGCTTCTGTTATTTCTGTTTTTGGTTCCAATCCACACTAGAAAAGCTGTTGGGCTCTCAGCTAGTTTTAGGGTCACATAGGCTCATAATCCGTGACTTCCTTGTGTAAATGAACCCAAAAGCTGAATTGATTCACGTGATTTCCCAGCACAAATTGACGTCAGGTCCATTAAGAAAGAACATGTTTCCAGTGGAGTTGTGAAAAGTTCTCACGCTTCTGCATATTCAGCGTACCTTTCTGTATTGGTATACTTCCTAGGGTTGCCAACTTTGGTTGGACGAATTCCTGAAGATTACATCACAACATAATCTTTAATTCTTGGAGACTCCAGGCCAATCCTGGAGGGTTGACAACCTCAGAACTTCCTCCTACTCAAAGTAGTCTTATTTTTTATTGTAAATCAAATTAAATTCCCCTTCCCCCTCCCCCCCCCCGTTTGCCTTTTATTCACATTAAAATTTTTGTCAGTTTATCTAGATCTAATCCAGAATGAGATTCTCGGATGTAGTGAAAATATTGGTATGTGCATTCCTTGCAGTAGGTGGAAGCAAAAATGAAATCTTAGAATCTATGCCTTCATGACTGTCCTTTAGTAAGGGAGATGGAAGAGACCCAATGAAGCAGCCCTCCTAAAGTGTCTGCTCTGTAAGGGGTTAGCTGATGGTAGACGGTTGCTCTCCTGCCCCACATCTCTTCAGCTGCAGCCATAAATGACAGCTATAACAAGATCTGGTACTTTCTGCAGAATCCCCTTCATTCATGCAAAGAGAAGTAAAATTGCCAAAAACAGTAAGGGGTTGTTTCCATACAGCTCCCACGGGGGTACAGAAGGGAAGCAGTGTGTTTGCAGCAGGGGGTGTTTGTCTGTAAAACTCTCTCTTCCTCTGATTCACGAGATTGTAACCCGCAGGGCAGCGTGAACACAACTATTCTGGTAGGCTTCACAGTTGAACTTTTCTAGAGTGCTGTGATAGAAGAAGTTGTCTCATGTTGCCTTTCATTGTGAATGTTGTCCTTGGGCTCCTGCAGAACTGGCTGTGGTTTTCTCCCTATACACAAGTTACATTGTGTATGTGGTTTGTTAAATAATGCGAGATGCCCAAATGTTGTACCAGTTGGTGCTAGATAAATGAATAAAACCCCACCATCTTAAAGTAAGACTGCAGTGGTGAATTAGACTGAAAAGTCCTTTTTCCAGGTTATAGTGATTCACTGTGAGTTTCTATGGGAACTAGAGTGAGCAGCCACAAGCAGAGTAATTGGATCTTTCGTAAATTTCAGCTGATCTTGAAACCTATACTTGTAGACTTGAAGGGACCCGATAGGCTGTATCAAGTTAACTTGGGGGATGGAAAGAATCAGGCAGAGCAGATATTTGTACCCACCTTTCATAAAAGTTTTGTGTGAGGGGGGACTAGGGCATGGGAACAAACTAAAAAACCCTGCCTCTCTCTCTATACCATACTACCACAGCTGAGATCAGTGGAAGCACTCAAGCTGGAGCTTCGCTTGGTCCGTAGGAGGGAGCTGTTGGCAGGGTGTTCTCTGTAAGGGCGGGCCCCATGACTTAACATGGATGGATAAGTAAATTGTAAACTTTCAAGGCATGCTCGAAAGCTCATCATCTTAAGACAACACTTGAGGAAGGCTGATGTGGCGGGGAGTGGGAATGCAAGCTGGAGGAAAGAAGTCCTTCACTAACATTAGTCTCAACTGTAGTTGGACATGCTGGTGGGGGGGGTTATATACATTTTATCAGCACCAGATCCCTGGAAAAGGTAGCAATTACAATGTGTATTACCTATGTTGCCTGTAAACAGTGGAAAGACAACTACCATCCATCCTGTAATAATTCAAATGTTTCAAATCAGCTAGGGGAACAACAATGTAGTTATTACTCTATCAATGAACCTTCTATAGACAAACCTCAGTATTGCATGACTGCCTTGCTGATGAAATCAATGTAATATATACATGGCAGTTTAGAACTAAAATTATGAGTTTTAAAAGGGTGCATTATTCAAGGTGAAGTGATGCAACAACTGTTGATGATGATAAATTCTGAGGTTTCTCAATTGTGCTGCTACACAGCTCTTAAGTTTGAACAGCTGTTTCCATTACAAACCCATTGTTTTCAGGGATTTATAACTGTTCTATAAAAATTTACTCTGGATGAAACTTGGAATGCAGCGTAGTGTCCCAGAAGCACTTTTCTAAAGATATTTCCAAAGTAGTTTGAGCCCATTGAACAGTCTCAACACAGAGAAAGATACTACAGTTTTTTAGCAGACTAACTTGTTTACTTTCCCCCTCCTTCTCCCCCCCCCACCCCGGTTTGAAGATTGGGCTTCTATAAAAGGATGGATTTTAAAACAAATTATTTACAGCATTAGCACTGACCCTGGTAATGCACTGGTATGTTTACCAAGGTGTTGCAGACCAGTGGTGATTTAGAAAGGATATTTTGGAGAGATTAAGTGACTTGTCCAAAAGAATACAGCCCAAGTCTCCTGACTTTTAGCCTTGTACCTGAGCACAAGACCATCCTTTCTCCTTGTTTTAAACAAAGTATGATGCTATTTGCTTGTTTTAAAGATATAAATCTGAATGTACTGAACCGTGAGACTGGAGTGAGCTTCTGTCATACAATACAGAAAGCTCAGAGCAAAGTAGAAATGTAGGCGTCTAATTCTTAGTTTTAATCAGCCCTTACAAATCGTTCTGTTTCTTTCTAAAATAACTTATTTGTATATCAGCTTCCCATCAAATTGACTGAGTTGAATCAAGAAAGAATTTACTTTTGAGTAATGGATGGGGATGGAACAGGAATACAAAAAAGTCGGCAACATCTGTGGGGATATTTTTCCTTAAATCTCCAGGCATTTTATCCAAACTCTTCAGGACTCCTGTAAATTTTTTTCCTCAAAAGTTCTTGTCCTTACCCATATTGTCCTTTATGGCCCTTGTAAGGTTACTTTTAAGTAGTCTTGATTATTCTGCACTGAACTGTAAATAAAAGTATATCAGCATCTGTAGAAATGTGGCAGGAATCTGTAGATATTTGCTTCAAAACCATGGAAGAGACAGTTAAATTGGCAGCTCTGTACTTCAAGTATTTACAATCAGACAACTGTATAAACCAGTCTTGTCAGCATATTTGTTGTGAATGCACATTAGTTTTCTGGCTTGCAAGGGTATCTGTAGGAACAATTGGTCTTCTTCAGTCAGTAAGAAAGTCAGACTGCCATGGTGTTGAAGATGGAGGATCCTTTTAATGAGAAAACAGCTGTGATTCCTAGTATTTCAACAGGGGTGGAAACCAAACAGAGCATGATATAAAATTGGAAAAACTGTCTTCCTCTCCGAAAAGGCTAGACATTTCATTCACTTACCAAAAATCCTCAAGCACTCTGAGTGTCTACTCTCCTGTTCCTGGTTTGAAAATAAAACTCATCAACTGCTGCATACTTCTTAAGTAATAATTTACCTCTGACGATGACTAAGTAGGACTACAAGGTTGGCATGAGAATTTTAGGGGGGGAGATACTGGTAACAAAAACATAGTATAAGAGCTTACTATTTCCTGTACTGTGTCCTAAAATCAGCATAGATGTAAAAGCAAGTATTAAAGACTGAGACTTTTCAAAGCTTGCTAAAGTCTTGTCTACCCAGGGAAATTGACCGGCATAGCTGTTTTGGAATAAGCTATTTCAGAATAACTCTCCATGTGGAATTCTGGAATAACGTCCACACAGGGAGCTATTGTGGAATAACTAAATAGCTTATTCCACAATATCTTTGCTGATCGACAAGGACTAAGGAACTTGGATGCCCAGTTCCCAGTGAGAGCCTCTTTCTAAAATGTCAGTTTGCATGATTTTGCTTACGTTTATAATTGGCAAAACTGTTTTGTCGAAAAGCGTCTGAGTTTTTAGCGCACAGATCTTGTCAATAATCATGTACAAAATTTTTGCTTTTTCTTACAGATGGATTTATCTAAATGATCAGAATTTATGCATCCCAGCCAGTTCTTCCTTTGTGTATGGAGCTGTACCTATTGGGGCCAGTATTTATGTCATTGGAGATCTTGATACAGGTTAGAATCAGAACTAGTAACTTCAGGTTGCTTGTTTTCTTCTAATTTTCTTACGTTTTAAAATTAATTAAATTGACTTCTTAGAATAAAAGAGTAAGATTTTTGTATTTTGGTCCAGGTTTCAAGATTTTGAGTCACATTGTGCTCTTAGTTGCCATTGACCTTGGGGGTGGGGGAGTTGTTATATTAAATTGACAGATAACGAACAGCAGAATTTAGCTTTTTGACTGGGAATCCTATGTTTGTGTTTCTGAGCACCAACACGATTTAAAATGCCCCAGAAGATTTAAGAATTCTTTTAGGATATTTTGGTTGATTACTGCTGCTAAGGTTAGGAAAATAGACCAAGGCTAACAGCAAGTTCTTGGATTTGTGTGTACAATAGAGAAGGAACCTCATAACTGTTCCTCAAAATCATTGTCATTGGTATGTCAGCAATTTGGTGCATCTGCTTAGCCTACAAATTGAGTAACAATAATAACTCATAGCAAGATTATGCTGTGGAGATTTCTGCAACGATGTCATTGCTTCTTTGCACTAGTAAATGTTGCTAAGAGAATATATACCAAGGACAATCACCGCACATTTGAAAGAAAGGAGAGCAATGAAGTTATGTAGGAAACATTTTAGAAACTAGTGTTACAAGTTTACCTCTTCAAGATAGGTTTCAGAGTAACAGCCGTGTTAGTCTGTATTCGCAAAAAGAAAAGGAGTACTTGTGGCACCTTAGAGACTAACCAATTTATTTGAGCATAAGCTTTTGTGAGCTACAGCTCACTTCATTGGATGCATACTGTGGAAAATACAGAAGATGTTTTTATACACACAAATCATGAAAAAATGGGTGTTTATCACTACAAAAGGTTTTCTCTCCCCCCACCCCACTCTCCTGCTGGTAATAGCTTATGTAAAGTGATCACTCTCCTTACAATGTGTATGATAATCAAGGTGGGCCATTTCCAGCACAAACCCACTCTCCTGTTAGTAATAGCTTATCTAAAGTGATCACTCTCCTTACAATGTGTATGATGATCAAGGTGGGCCATTTCCAGCACAAATCCAGGTTTTCTCCCTACCCAGACTCCAGTGAGAGACTGCTGAATTGGAATTAATTTGCAAACTGGATACCATTAACTTAGGCTTGAATAGAGACTGGGAGTGGCTAAGTCATTATGCAAGGTAACCTATTTCCCTTTGTTTTCCTACCGCTCCCCCCCCCCCCCGACGTTCTTGTTAAACCCTGGATTTGTGCTGGAAATGGCTCTGACACACAGAGCTGGCATAGTTGCCAAGCAAATACTAAGAAATCTTTATAGTAGTTTAAAGAAAGAAGAGCAGGTACCCATGGCACTTCCAGTAATGGTTAGAGTGGGATACTGGTCTCTGAAACATTAAAGAATTAGTTCATTACATCCGTATAGGATATTGATTTGTACATCCACAGAACATCTCTTTAGCTTCTGAAATATATGGACCTATTCCTTACTTGTGGTGAATGTCTGACTTTGTTTTCTACATGTTTTTTCAAAGGCCTGTATTATAATTCTTTGCTTTGGAACTTGCCCAAAATGATGATCTGTCACAACAGAAACTAGGTGTCATATGAACACGACATACATATTTTACTCATAATTGCTAAACCTCTTTTTCCCAGATGTTCTCTTTCACATGGAGTGCTCCATCTTCCAGCAAAGAACCCATCCCACTGGTGTTTTGAAATCCTCAAACATTGTAGCTTCTAAAATTGGCATTGCCTGTACCAATGTTTGGAACTAATTACTCTCGATGTCACCTACCTCTCTACTGGCTCTTGAAAGATTTTTAATTTACTTTCATAGCTACCTATGTGTAACTGTGAAAATTAGGTAAAATGGGTCCCAAATTTGTTGTTGCTCTTTCCTTTGTTTTGTTCTTCTAAAACAAGTTTTTCTCAGCTTTTCTTTTGAAAACTTGTCTGCCAACATATTCAGAAATTGATCAGAACAGTTTTTGTTCTTCCATTTGGTCTGGAAATATATTGGCATCATTAGATTTAAATTGCTTGATACTTTGTAACTGAGTGTACAATGAATTTCTGTTTTTTATTTAACTTTAGGTACCAATTATGACTACGTTAGAGAGTTTAAAAGGAGCACAGGAACATGGCACCATACTAAACCATTATTTCCATCAGACCTTCGCCGCACTGGCTGCGCAGCCTTGCGGATTGCAAACTGCAAGCTTTTCCGACTGCAGCTTCAGCAAGGATTGTTCCGTATTCGTGTTCCTTCCCCATGATTAGTCCTGCAAAAATGGAGGAGATGGGAAGAAACCTAACACAGTCCACCGTAACATAGCTTTATATAAGGAAAAACAAAGCTATTGCAACTGAAACTTACATTATATGCTGTGCTTTGGTATGGTATCTGTTTTTGGTTTTGTTTTAAAATGCTTAAAAACTTGAGTCTCAGCTCTTGTTTGGGGGATAAATAGCTCTATATTAAACAAAAAAAATACCATGACAAAGGGAACACCTTCAGTCCTAACTATCTAAAAAAAGTAAACTACACTAATGAGGGAGTTCCTTGCGTCTGAAGCAGGAAGGAATGGGTAATATAACAAATTGTATCGAAAAGTAAAAAAAAAATTTAAGGTGCATTTCCCCTCAGGGGAATTGATAAGAATTAGCATGCTGTCTTCAACTGGATAGCTTTAATACAGATATGCTGTATGAAAATCAACCTCTCTGGTATACTGCAAGACTGTTCTTCATCTGAATCAGTTCAAGGGAGATGTTGGTCATTGCACCTTTATTTCTAGCCCTTCCTCACTAGTCAAGGTCTGTGCCTACAAGGGTGGAGGTGTACATATGTTTTTCATTCATTTCCAATGTTTTCATTCCTAAGGATCTTTTAAATATATTTAAAATTGAACTAAGAGTTACAATATATTGTAGATGTGTAAACTGTTTTTCTACACAGTGTCATTCAAATGCTCTGAAGATTCCGTGTATTGGGGGTGGGCCAGCATGCATTCTTTGTGTGGATTTTGGAAGCTGCAATGAGTGAAGTAAAGGGAAGGACTGAGGCGTAGAATATGTCACACCTTTACTGTGGCTGGTAAAGGAATGCAGCACGAGTCGCTTTTCTGAGAGAAATAGGACTCCTTTTCCCTTCAGATCACTTAAAAATCACTGCACGTTTGCAGTGTTGAGGATGTGTATTTGTGCAAAAGGGGAGAAGGAAAGGTGGGGCATTAAAAGGGATATATATGTATTGTGGAAAACTTGATTTCAGGTTCCTGTTTTAAAGGAAATTGTACAGGCAACTTATATTGGGATCAGAAGCTGGTTTACTTATGATTTCTGTGCTAAGGTTTTTGGCTTTGAAAGCTTGTTTTAGAATTCAGTTGTAGTGAAGAATTTGTCTTATGGCTTTTTCCTTTTAAGTCTTGTTACCACTGCGAGTAATATTTAATTGAGTTATGTTAGTACGAAAGATCTGCTGGTAGAACACACTTTACCTCATTACTTAATTTCATTTTTGTTACTTGTGATGGGTGACACACAACACTACTGAAAAAAAAAAGAAAGAAAGAAGAAAAGGGGGGAGGGGAAGAAATTGAGCTGGAAATGCAGTTGAAACTTATCCCTATCTCCACCCTAAAAAGACTCTTCTAATACTTTGTAGTGTTGCCGGTTCTATTACAAGACACTGTTCTTTCCACTCTGAAACTTTGAAGGACCTCAATCAAAAATCAGTGGGCCAGGTTTTGCCCTCAGTTATTCACACACACAAATCCAGATTAACTCCTTTGATCCATCCAAAATAATCTTCTCAAATACAGGCCACAAATAGAACAAAATAGCTAGTGTTCAACTATCTAAATTTTCCTTAATGAAACATTCCAAGGCTTACTAATTTTCATCATCATTCTGTAATGTTAACAGAATAATCCAATTAAATCAATAACTGCAGGCAGAATTTAGTCCATTGATTTTTTTTTTTTTTTTTTTGTAATGCTGAAGTGCTGCAGAATCTGAACTGTATGTAGTAACCTATTTTTAATCACTATATTTTTAATGGTTTTGTACACATGGCGGTAGAAATTTACTTGACTTAGTATTTGTCTTTAAATTTGTTATATTCTTTATTACAAAAATGTAAACCTCTGTTTCCATCTTCAGATTTTTTTGTTGAAAAAGTTTTGTAAAGATTTCCACTTTTTATAAATTAAAGGCTTACGGTAAAATGTTCAAAATCACATAAATCATTTTTGAAAACAGAACTTAGGCATTTAGGAGCCTAAGGCCTGGTCTACATTTAAAATTAGATCAACCTCGCTATATTGCATAGTGCTGTGAAAAATTGTATACATGGTACGACATAGTTAGAGGTTGACCTAACCCCAGGTGTAGATGCAGCTAGGTCAACAGAAGAGCTTTCTGGTGACTTGCCTCCTGCTTCTCAAAGAGGTAGATTAGCTACATTGACTGAAAAACCCCTTTTGTTGATATGGGAAGCATCCATACTATGGCACTATAGCAGCTGTGTATAGACATGCTCTAAGTCTAAAGAGCCTAAGTACCCAAGTCACTTTGAAAATGAACTTTGGCTCCTAAATAATTTAGATGCTTTTGAAAACTTTAGCTAATATCTTGCAAGAAATACCTCCTGAGAACTGAAGTTAGTGAGAGCAAATGGTATTCATCACCCAGCAAGACTGGGTAGTAAATACACAAAATAAATTTAAATAAATCACAAATTCTGTGTGCTCTGGCCATGTTTTATGGTAAAAGTTAATAAGTAAAAGTTAGTTTACATTTAACAAGGTAAAGTAGGATTAACATTAGGGTTATTTTTGGATTTTCTAAAAAAGGAAAATTAAAATAATTGTCTTGTGTAGCTAAAATACTCTGTTGGATTTGACAGAGGAGTGTAAGCAACTTATTCTAAAACACCTACACACTTTAAGCATGTGAATAGTTCTATTAACTACTGCAGGACTGGGGCCTAAATTTTTTGAACCAATAAGTGTACATTTAAGTGTACAGCTAACTAACTTCCTGTGTACACAGTGCATGCGTTAAGGAAAACATTCATCACGCATGCTTAGTATGCAGTTTTTAAATGGTCGTGTCTTAATGAAAAGTATTTTTTGTAAACTCAAAGGCCTCAGTGAGAATTGTTTGGGTCAAGTTTCAAACTTCAGCCATTTTTGTATTAGCCCTATCTTTAAAAAAAAAATTGAAAATGGTAATAGTGGTGGTTTGTGTTGCTTTCCCTTAGGTTGAACTTTACAATAAATAAATGAAAAGAGAATTTTGTTCACTTTACCAAAAAAATACACCTTAAGGTGGAGGCTAGAATTGAGAACTTCAGAATAAAATGTGAATGTTTTGGAAAGTTATTAAAATAAATAAATAAAATAAATAGGGGTTAATGGTTCTGCAACCTTAACCATAGTGGGCACTGTCCTATTCCTGTTTTAAGAGTGTAAGCCTGTGGCTTCTTTGCCAGAGGGGTAGAGGGCATGTTCAAAAACAGAAATAACTAGTATAGTGCATGGTTTCTGGTAAAGTTTTGCTTTGAGGACTCTGGCAAAGGCTAAGGAAAGATCCACCTGGCACCTTTTCCTCCCCAGCCAACCAATGTGGCTTCAGTATAGTAACCAGTCTCTGGTCTTTTAAGCCTGGGAATCCAAGTCTGTTTCTACACATTGGATAATCATATGGGAAATTTGTGCTGCTGAACATCCAATGCTAGATTGGATTTCAAATTCACCACCTCTTTGCTTGTTTACCCTTTATACAGCTCTAGTTAAGAGTCCTCTGCTTAACTATAGCAAAACAGGTCATTTTTCCTTTTAATATTTTACCAGCAACAGCACATGATTTATCCTGACAATGCCATGTCAACTTTGCTGTCCTCAATCAAGTGACTTGCAGTAGCCCTGAAGCTCTCTTTAAAACTAACAAGAAAAGATGAATCTGGAAATTAATCCCAATTTTTAAAGGCTTATTTATTAATCACTGCAGACAAACTTTGTCCTGTGTGCCTGTGGAATCCTAATACTCAAAAGTGTGTTCATACACTGTCTTATGAGTCGGAGTTACCACTGAAAATATAAAAGGTGGATATTCATCAAAGCTACTGCAGCACTTGACTTTTACCTTTATGCATTGGGTTCCCCTTCCAAAAATCCCAGGCAGTTTCATTTCCAGTAGAGATGTTAGTACAGTAATTTTTTCAAAAGAGTTCAGTAGTAGTAGTATTTAATTTTTTTGCAATATTTCTTGTGCTTGCATGTCTTGGTAATTGCACAATGGTACAAAAGTGAATTTTTACGTTTTAAGTGCAGTTTCTTGATTCGGTAGTTCCATAAATATACAGTCTGTACAGGATGATTGTTCATGGTATTATGTATTTGCCATACACGGTGTGGTATGCAATAACAAAAGGAAAGCTGTTATAAGTGCCAAACTTTTGGTTTTCTCTGTATATACAGATAATACACTACTCTTCTGTTGCGGTACAGGGATATTTAAAATTCACTGTGTTAAAAAAAGTGATTTTTTTTTGTAAAATAATGCTTCTTTTAAACACTGTAAATCTCTTTATTATTTTTAATACTGTTCTGCAGGTTTGTGTTACTGTACGTTGCTGCCTTGAAACATCACTCCACGTGATGCGTATGGTCACTCTGCTCTTTATTAGGGCACTAGTTACACGCATGTAAATAAAAAATGGCAGCTGACAATAATAATATTTAGATAAAGTGCAATTCATTTTAACTAATCTCGCCCGCAGAAAGAAGGTTGTGTCTCAGGTTAAGTCACAGCAAATGTGAGTTTTAACAGGGACACAGAAGTACTCATAGGCTACAGTTCCTTATATTGTAACCAATGTGTATTTTTGTGCCACTCTCAATGACACTTTTCAAGGAGTTTTGTGTTGTTTAATTGAATTTAGGATCAGGATATTTTCTGTTCTTGACATATTAAGCATTCTGTCTCGATTTCTCTTAACTTTATTTTGTTCCTGAGCTGCGTGTATAAATTCTGACTCCAGGGTTCATTAGATATAAATTTATTTTCAATTAGAATGTACTGATTCTTGGTTAATTTGCAGGATTTTTGGTGCTGTTGATGTTAAACTGGTGGCAAGTGTTCAGCTCTAGACAGACATTAGTACTGTAACTTTTTTAATGTTTGCCATCCTCTTGCTTTATTAGTGTGATTAAAAGCTTTCTTTACCAGGTAGGGTCCATGTTTCAAGAGCATGCTACATCATAAAGGAAAATATACATATATTTTGAGGCACAGTGTTTACTTTTGTAAGCCTTGCATCTGGGGTTGCCAATTTTGGTAGGACGTATTCCTGGAGGTTTCATCACATTACAGATTAATCTTTAATTCCTGGAGACTCCAGGACAATTCTGGAGGGTTGGCAACCACACTTACATCATTCATCTAATAAGATTTGGGGCCTGATTGCTTTCAGTGTCCATTGACTTGAAGATAGCACATGGCTCCCTGTAGGATTTAGTCCAGGGGGTGTATAAATATAAATATGCTTTACTTCAGAATGCACAAGCAAATGTTCCAAGGTCTGTTGGTAGGTTGGGCCTTTTGAATACACAACCTATCTCCAAAACCTCTGTAGGGTGTGATGTTAAATTTCATCACTCTAGGAAGAACCACTTGTTTACAGACAGTACTTACTAAATGCTATAATAACATGGCAGCCCTACTGAGTTTGGCAAAATGGCAGATGACATTTCTGTAACTTAATAGTTGGACTAGTTACCAGTTTTTAAATAAAATCTAGATTAATATATGCTTTAAGACCTTTCCAAGTGCCTAATTAAACCGACACAAAGCTTTCTCTGTTATGTAAAATAGGGACTATGGTAATAAATGCATTAAACCATAAGGCATTACCAACAGGTGAGGTACTTTAACTTTCTCTGTGATTTGAATCCCTTAAATTTTCTTGGCAAACCTAAAATAGGTAGCTTGCATGCTACTTATAAAAATTAAATTACCATACATGTTTAAAACTAAGGGGAAATTGTACCCAATAATATCTGGAGATCAGCTGAAAGACCATGTTGTAATGCCTTAAAACTAAACTGGAAGGCTGGAACTTTTCAGCATAATAGCTTATATCTTGTTGCATGGTGTCTTTTATATTCAATTCCAACCAGGACGAGCATGTGAATACCAAATACGTCTGTCACAGAGTTGCTCAGACTGTAGATGAAGTATGCCATCAGCTAGGTATGGCCTTCTCATTTAATAATGAAATGAGATCATATTGAGACCTTTTTGGTGAAGGGAAGCTTTCTTCTTCTTATCTCTAGAAGAAATTCTTACCTAAATTATTTCTTCAATGATCAGTTATGAAAATGTAAATATGTGGGGAGGGGGTTTTAATTATACATAGTAAGTACTTCTAAATCTGATTTCCCTTCCCTCTCCAAATCAGTGCTAATGTTAATGTATTTTTTTAAAGCTGTATTTAATTTAAATCCAGTTTGGGGGCCTGATTTTTCAACCAGGTCCCAGCTCTGTCACTGTTTTTATTGATGTAATCTTGTGCGTGCACATGAATACCTGTGTTTGTTTAATGGCACGCTAAAAACAATTTTTTTGCACAAAATTGCACCTTTAAAATCAAAGACCATTGCTGAAAATCTGGGTCTTAATGTGCAATAGGAAGTAGGCTACAACATATTTATCATTCGCTGTTCCTGAGTTTCTCTCTCTTTAGTGAATTCATGTTTGAGAGCTCCGGCTAGGCAGCATCTGTTTGTTTTGATTAATTTATTCATGGAGCACAATAGGAAAACATAGATTCTAGTTTAAAGGTAAGAAGTAAGCTGTGTCACTTATTGCTTGTATTTGCTTGTATTAATGGTTTGAGTTTAAAAAAATGTAGCACTAGAGCAGCAGAAAAATACCTTTTCAACCTTTCGTGGTTAGAATAAGAGCTGGTAAATGATAAATGCTTTACAGACAAATAAGACTTTGTTCCCCAAAACTTGGAACAAGAAATTTACTAGCTTCCGTTAAGGTTGTATATTGACTAAGAGCCAGCAGGAGTACAAAGAAGGATGTCTGGTACAGTAATCAAGTTGTACTGTACTAAGGTAGCATTCATGAAAGCACTTGTTACGGTTTCAGATCATTTTCAGTAGAAATCAAGAGATGCAGTCACATGAACAAATGTTTTAAGAATTAGTGTTAAACTTTTTAGTTGGTGGCTCTAACACACACACACAGAATAATTTGTGGATGATCTGCTAAAATACAGTTCATCCTTATTTTGGGGCAAAAAAAGGGCTAATCTTCAGCCCCATTTGAGTTTAATTTTTTTCCTGAGGTTCCAAAACCTAGTAGTTTTTCTCCTCATACCTGGAGTTTTTTGTTTTTTTGTTTTTGTTTTTTAAACACTAGAGAAATATATTTCTCATTGAGACTGGATAGTATTATACTGAGTAGTGCAATATTGTATTGATACTTAAGTGCATTTGATTCAGACCTTACATAGTACTAATAGCGGGCTTTTAAAATGTCATTAATATTAAACATGAGAGTGAGGAGGGAAATATCAAGCTCCAAGAGACAGACACGCACGCTTAGAGTCTTGTGGCATGCCAGGCAAAGGGCCCATAAATTCTGGCACACGTGCTGCCTCCTTTGCAGCTCCTGGCATTGAAACCATGGCTAGAATGATCCAGTGCCCCAGTAATCCTAAACTGCCAGAATGGCCTCTAGGGGCCTGACCTTGTAGAAATCTGGCTGCAACTGGCTTCTTTTCTGACCCTCTCCTCAACTGCATCCATCACGTATTTGACACAGCTAGTAATTTGGGCCTAGAGCTCACTCTGCAGTGTTAACGACCAGTTGCCTAATCAAGGGGCAGAGGATTTGCAGACCTGTGTTGGAAATCCAGAGGGGCAGCTTTCAAATCCTTATGGAATCAGAGGGTCACAGGTCTCCCGCCATTCTTGTGGAGGGCCTGCTATTTAACTACTTCCTGCCCTCTCCATTTTCTTCCTTGCTAGCACCATGGCTCTGTTACTGCTCCAGCCCAGTTTTGATCCCTAAATTTGCATGGAACTGCATGGAATATGCCACAAACAACTCTACTTTTGTATACACTGGCATTTTGCTACTGGCTAGCATCAGTACCAGGCAACTTAGTTGAAACAATAGTAAAGAATAAAATCGTCAGACACATAGAAGAACATAAATTGTTGGGCAAAAGTCAACATGGTTTCTGTAAAGGGAAATCATGTCTTACTGATCCATTAGAGTTCTTTGAAGGGGTCAGCAAACATGTGGGCAAGGGGATCCAGCGGACATAGTATACTTAGATTTCCAGAAAGCCTTTGACAAGGTCCCTCACCAAAGGCTCTTATGTAAATTAAGTTGTCATGGGATAAGAGGGAAGATCCTTTCATGGATTGAGAACTGGTTAAAAGACAAGGAAAAAGGGTAGGAATAAATGGTAAATTTTCAGAATGGAGAGGGGTAACTAGTGGTGTTCCCCCAGGGTCAGTCCTAGGACAAATCTTATTCAACTTATTCATAAATTATCTGGAGAAAGGGGTAAACAGTGAGGTGGCAAAGTTTGCAGATGATGCTAAACTGCTCAAGATAGTTAAGACCAAAGCAGACTGTGAAGAACTTCAAAAAGATCTCACAAAACTAAGTGATTGGGCAACAAAATGGCAAATTTAATGTGGATAAATGTAAAGTAATGCACATTGGAAAAAATAACCCCAACTATACATACAATATGATGGGGGCTAATTTAGCTACAGTTAATCAGGAGAAAGATCTTGGAGTCATCGTGGAGAGTTCTCTGGAGACATCCACGTAGTGTGCAGCGGCAGTCAGAAAAGCAAACAGGATGTTAGGGATCATTTAAAAAGGGATAGAAAATAAGACGGAGAATATCTTATTGCCTTTATATAAATCCATGGTACGCCCACATCTTGAATACTGTGTACAGATGTGGTCCCCTCATCTCAAAAATGATATACTGGCATTAGAAAAGGTTCAGAAAAGGGCAACTAAAATGATTAGGGGTTTGGAACGGGTCCCATATGAGGGGAGATTAAAGAGGCTAGGACTTTTCAGCTTGGAAAAGAGGAGACTAAGAGGGAATATGATAGAGGTATATAAAATCATGAGTGGTGTGGAGAAAGTGAATAAGGAAAAGTTATTTACTTGTTCCCATAATATAAGAACTAGGGGCCACTAAATGAAATTAATGGTCAGCAGGTTTAAAACAGATAAAAGGAAGTTCTTCTTCACTCAGCTCAGTCAACCTGTGGAACTCCTTGCCTGAGGAGGTTGTGAAGGCTAGGACTATAACAGGGTTTAAAAGAGAACTAGATAAATTCATGGAGTTTCAGTCCATTAATGGCTATGAGCCAGGATGGGTAAGGAATGGTGTCCGTAGCCTCTGTTTGTCAGAGGGTGGAGATGGATGGCAGGAGAGAGATCACCTGATCATTACCTGTTAGGTTCACTCCCTCTGGGACACCTGGCATTGGCCACTGTCGGTAGACAGGATACTGGGCTGGATGGACCTTTGGTCTGACCCAGTATGGCCATTCTTGTGTTAAGAACATAAGAACCAATGGCAATGGCCATTCTTATGTTATGTTGGCTTTGTACTTTCTTCTATGCTACGCATTGCATTATTTATCTTTAATAATTCAGTTGGGCATTTTCAGTTAAGACTTGCTTTCCATCAAACATCTAGAATTACAACATGTATGGGTTATAGTTCACCTGAATACCTATGATTGGTCTATGGATAGACCACGTGTAGCACGCTTCCACGTATCTGTTGTATTTGTAGCAGGAAGTATTTGTCTTTTTAATAATTTGTGATTTTTTTTTTTTTGATTGAGGATAAACCCTTATACCTTAACAAAATCGTGAAAAGTGTATAAACCCTTATACCCAGCTACCTTAGTGGTTTATTTTATTTTATTTTTTGCACTTTGCCAAATTGTGGGATTTTTTTTTTAGATTGCATTCTAGCCTTTAACAAAAGGCTAGAAGCAAATGGGAAGCAGGGTGGAATATTGCCATTGTCCAAGGATGGTTTTCCCTAGTTTCCTTTAACAATGTTTGTCTTCACTAGCAGGTATAGGGGTTCTCCTGCAGCTGCTGCAAGACAATTGCTTGAAAGTAACTAAACTTTTATAAGTATCATGAGGTAGCCGTGTTAGTCTGTATCCACAAAAACAAGAAGTCCAGTGGCACCTTAAAGACTAACTGGTTTATTTGAGCATAAGCTTTCGTGGGTAAAAACCGTAAATGTAAGAAGCAGTCAAAGGCATATGTTCTTATGGCTTTAAATAGGAAAGTATTTTAATATATTAAATTTTTTTGTACTTGTGAACTAGACCAGTTGGACAAGCTTCTCTCTATTCCTACTGTATATTCTGCTCTTTGTGTGGACTTGATTACATCTCCTTTGAAGTAAATGGAAAAACTCCTATTGACTTGATTGATGTTGGATCAGGCCCTTTTTGTGTGGAATTCCCAACCTGCCCATCTAGGGAGAGCAGAATATCTAAGATGATTTCCATCTTCCAGATTTGAGAGCATGATTTTTCCACCTACCTTGGAACCTTCAGGTATCCAGCTTCTGTTCAGTTGAATAAAAAGGTACCAATTCATTCTTTCTTTCCTAAATGTACTGTTTTGACACACTTCTGATTTCTTAAACACTGTGTTTGACTTGTTAAAATGACACTAGTAAATTGATAACTGTTAGTGCTTTTTTTCTTGAATATTCAGTGCTTATATGCAATTACCTTTAGTTTTGTACAGCTCCTTAACTTGTAAGGGCCTTAAAGATACAAATGAAAATTTTAAGAAATACCCGTCAGATCTTTCTGTAAAATCAAAATATGAAACATTTCACAACGAAAGCTTTCCTCAAAATATTCATATTAAATTGCAGTTCAGATAAATTTAACCCAGTTAAACTAAAATTGTAATGACTATGCATGTTCCAGCAAATGGTACATCTACTTTGCACTTGGGAGGTGTGACTGCAGCTAGCTTCGATTTAGGTAGATTAATGATAGCAGCGAAGCCCTGGCCGAATGATTTAACCTCATCCACCCAGGACCCCCCTGGTACATACTTGATCAGCTGCCCCGGCTTCACTGCGATTGTTACGTGGGCAAGCTTTGATCTAGCTAGATTGTATCTACTGATTGCAGCGTAGATATACCCTTAATGAGTACGAAACAAGGAGCTCTCTACACTGCCAGTGGAGTATACTGATAAGTTATGAATTGAGGAACGTTTCATTGGGAACATAGGGGATACCCATTACATTCTTTTTATTCATAGTTCTTCAGCCAGTTCTGAGGATCTGGCTCAAGGTTGCCCCATGCATCCTGCCTGTGGGGAGCATTCCCACCCATGTGGCTCCCTGATTTTTCTGGTTGTTGGGCCAGTCCTGAGGCACAGTCTTCAGGGCTGATCCAAGTTGCATTTGGTGCAGTGGCCTACAAAGGGCCACTATAGCAGCTAGGGACCACTGCACCACAGTGGAGCTCTGGATATCGCCTCCCTCTACCCCCACGTTTTTTCCCTCAGCCTTGCCACTTGCGTGGTGTGCCAGCTTGAAGTGGTATAGCTTTATTTGCTTTGCAGAGCAGCACAAAACAGTCTTAGTGGGTCTGATGATCAAGTTCCTTAAACGCTGGCTAAGGGATAAAAAGCTGTGTTTTAATTCTGTTTTCTTTTAATCAAGATCATCAGCTTAGTTTGGGGAATTAGTAACGGACAATTATAAAACATTTTTGATGCCATGGAGAACATAGAAGCTCTTGCTCCTGCACCAGTTGGGGGAGGGGGAAGAATCATGGGATTATAGCCATTTATGAGCCTATGTCACTCCTCCAAACATAAAATGGGGTCAGCTACCCCCATGGCAAGCATTACAAACTTACTAAGAATCCTCCATGCAGGGAACCCATAAGTGAAGGGGGGATGGGAGTTATATGCATTGTCCACTTGCCTGTTGGGGAATTCACCAAAAAGTAATGGAACCTAAAGCATCCCCATACTTCATTATAGACTCTTCCCCCTTTTTTAGGAAAGCTGAAGGAGGGGGCACTAGAGCCAAACCCACTGACAGATCGTCTCTGGATACGTCTGCGCTACAACTGGGAGGTGTAATTCCTAGCTCAGGTGGACATACACAAGCTAGCTCTGCTCAAGGTGTCATGCTGTAAAGAGCAATGTGGCTCTGGTTTGCTGCCCCAGTAGATACCCAGGATCTCAGACAGGGTTGTGCTTCGGTGGCTAGCCTGAACTACTGCCTGTGTGGCCACATTGCTTGAGCGAGCATGCTAAAAATGGCAGAGTTAGTATGTATATATCTGCCCAAACTGGGAATAACGTTTCCCTGCTGCAGTGTAGACGTGGCCTCTGCAGCTCTCTGAGAGTTTTGGTAAGGATGGGTCCACATCATTTCCTATGTAGCAGGGCAAGAAAAAATGGGTTATACAAGCCCTGGGATGAGAGATGTAGGTGGCATTACATGTCACTACATCATGGTTGAAGTTTGTGATTCTACTTTGCTGTGATACTGGTAGGGCTTTAGGAAACTGAAAGTGTTTTGTTTCAGTTCTCCCAATTTCATTGCAATTAACTCCATGCTTGTCCAATGTCCATCCTCTGAAATCTTGTAAAACGTGATTTTTGCATGGCTATAAAAAGTCAATTTTTTCATGTTCTTCATTGGGAAGGTTGATAATGTTCCAAATCAGACAGTTTAAACTCAAAATAGTGACATTAAAAAAGGCTAGAATTTTTGCTCAAAAAAGGATGTTTTGAGTGAAAATGAGAAATAGTAAAATTTCACAGGCCTTTTATGAAAATGGAATGTTTTTTTGCGACATTGCAACAAAATGCAAATCTCAACAACGTAAAACATTTTTGTTCTGAACAAGGCTAGAATAGGGCTCCCTTTGGTTTGTGGGCCTGCAAGCAGTGGTTCTGTGATTAATTCAGCCCTGCTAATACCTGTGGCAGAGGAACTAATTGTCCTCTTATGCAGTATTGCCATGTTGGTGGAAGATAATGGAAATTTGGGAGTGAAGAATATGGAAGTCTTACTACAAGGCAGTATAGCAAGTATTGTAATAAATATTAGGAAGAATTTGACAGTTAAATTCTTTACAAGCATATAGAAAAGAACTATAGGGATGTGTACACTTTGATTAATTGTTTGAACACTTTTCACGATTTTTTCTTTTGGTGTCTGGCTATTTGAGATTCTTCTAATCTTTCCTTCAAAAGAAAAGTCACAGTTTTCCTTCTTACGCTGACTTCAGGATTTGCGTTCTTTAAACCAGGTATATACAATATCGTGGATCCTGTTGAGTTGGGCTAAAGAATAATAAAACACTCATGCTTTTTATTAGGTCCAGTCTTGCTGCTGAATCATATGCAATCCCTACTGGGCCCTTAATGTTTTTTTGCAGTGTAGTTGTAGCCGTGTTGGTCCCAGGGTATGAGACACAGAAAGTGGGTGAAATTACTGGACAAACTTCCATTGTTGAAAGAGACAAGCTTTTGAGGTGCACATAACTCTTCTTCAGGTGTCCTGAAGAAGAGCTCTCTGTAGCTCAAAAGCTTGTCTCTTTCAGCAACAGATGTTGGTCCAGTAAAAGATACTACCTCACACACCTTGTTTCCTTCCTATGTTTTAGCACTAGACAATGCAATAACAATCCCAATAGAGCATTTGTAATTGCATTAGTCATTCAGTGAAACTAGTGTTAGAAAAGTCAGAATGCTGACATCCCCATAATGTCTAGCCTTTGCATAGTGCTACGCCTGCGGTATCCTACATCAATATCTTCTATGACAGCACTATCTTATGAGGACTTTCCTGTAAAACCCTGTCTGACTGGGTCAAGGAAAATATATTGTCACTTTTCCATAAGAAAGCCTCCAAGTATAGGTTTTTCTGGAGACGTGCTTATCTGGTCAGTCCCATATACGCAGTTTAAGAACAAGGTTAATACATCACTGAATTGTTCATAGACTGTCATTCTGTAAACTTGCTGGTTGTTGAAGGTTTTAACTTGGATTTTTTTTTTTTTTTTTTTTTGTAATTTATGGAAACTGATCTTTTATTTCCATCTTATTCCCCACTCTGGATCTTCATTAATTGACTTAAAACTGAATAGTATAAGTCACTCGGGGCCAAATCGGGGAATCACGCTGAGGTTGAGTGTATCTGCTTGAGAGATGGGCGTCTGGAAGAGCCTTGACTCATGATCGTAGGAATCCTCTTTAGCCTCACCCTGCCTCTTCCATAGGGGAAGGACTGGAGGATCTGTGCAACTGGGGACCCTGTGCAGTCACACAAGGATCACCATGGAGCCAATCCTTTTGCAACACAGGGGTGCATGTGTTGTGTGGCTTTTCCAAATGCAGTCCTCTTTCCCCTCCCCCATCAGCCCTACCACAATAGCTCTATTGCATGAGAGGCCTGCCATGGTCATGGAGGTGAGGTTGGATTTCTCACCTTAATGTCTCCCCAGGTTATTCTGACTCCCTCTGCAAAATGGGGGTGTTAATGGTTAAAGCTTTTTGAAGATGAAACTTATTGAAGTGCTTAGTTTTTAATATCAGCATGTTTTGGCTATGATATTTTTTCTTTAAAATAAAACCAATTACTTATCCACTCAAATACTTGTCTCTTTATACTATGCTGATCTTAGCTTTGGAAAGCTTTGGATGGACTGATGCCCAAGAATCTTACATCCAAATAAACTACATCCACCATTTCCTGCCAGATTTTTCTCTGATTTGTTAAGCATTCTGACTCTCTCTAAATAATATACTTCCCGGTGTCTCCCACTAGGCAGTCTCTTATTACTATTGCCAATAACCTCTTCCTGTTGAAGCAGAGCTTCTAGACATGGAGCCAGATCTACCACCAGTTGGAGTGAGTGTCATCCCATTAACTTCATAGCATTTGTACTCCTTTTTGCCAATGGTTTATTGGGTCATTGTAGCTTACTGGATCCTTCCAGGTAAATGTAGATCTTGCATGTGTCCCTATGTCATCCACTGGTGCCGCTGATATTTTCAGAAATACTTGTAGCTTGGACTTTTCAAAAGAGCCTAAAGAAGTTAGATACCAAAAACCCAGCCTAAATCTGTTTAATTTCTGCCACTCTTTTGGTTTTGCCACTTACATTAGAATTCAGAGATGGATCCTGTGTGCTCCGGAGTCTTGCTAGAGATCCTGAGTTCTCTCACTATTTTGTCTTCCAGTAAAGTTTGTTTTGTCTTATGGTGTTTCTATCCCCTTTGACTCATCCCCTTGTTAACACGATTAAAAATGGAAAACGTTTGCCTCTAATTTTACATTCTACTGGTAAATTATCAGTGGAATAATTTTCAATTACCACCTCTTGCCTGCATTCACTTGCCGCCTCTATATTAACCTCTAGGTGGACTTTTTGGTTTACTGGACATATTTTTATCTTACCCCATGCCTCTTTCTTAATCCCCATTACTATTTTTTGCCCTTTGTAATTCAGGTTAGCCTTTGTTTACTTGTACATATCCCTCCGACCTGACATATCGCACTGTGAAGTGTCTGAAATCAACTCTGCTTGGCTGAAATTAAATGTCTTGTTGGTTTCACTTCAGTCCTAGACCCCAATTCTTCTATAGAACAATGCAATCAGAACAAAGTCTGAAAGTGTTTTGTTTTTGTTTACTGAAAATGTTAGATTCTAGGAAATGTTTTTCTTTCTTAGAAGTAGCCAGTCCACATTGTTAGCAGATTAGAAGTTTCTTATGCTTCCATATTCAATATTTTTAATTGAGAAACATTATTTTGGGAAATGTACAATTTTTGTACTTTGATGTCAAAGTGGCCTTTATAGGAAAAGCACATACAATATTTAGATTAAAATTCATTAGCTATGTAATTTTAGTGGGGATTTTTGTATTGACAGGGTTTTTATGCATTTTTCAAATATACTTACTGTTTTGTGTTAGAAATTATTTGTAATATTTTTTAAACTACATCATGAAATTTTCCCATGGTTCCTCCTTCCATTCCATTCAGTTACTACAAAGCTGTTAGCTAACCCTGTACATTAATTCCCCAAGTTTTTTCGTAGTATCAGTATAGTGAGTTATAGAATGGACTTGTAGCTTTAAGGGAATAATCCTAGCAGTGTGGGCAGAATGCTGGAACATTTTATCTTTTGAGAAGAGCAGTGTGCAGTAATTCAGTCGTACTTGACCAATTAAGTTACCAAATTTATAGTTATTGTAATTTCTTTCCATCCTATAGTTTTTACATTTGAGTGCTAATTACAGAATATGTACTACTTGTGCAGTATGCAACTTTCCTTCATTATATCATTGTGACATTAATGGTCACCAACCTGAAAAGTTCCAGAGTTCTTATGGTATCCCAGTTAATGGGCTCTGAATCAGAACCAGATGAGATGTGTTGAAAAAAATTAAATATACATGTAATTGGATTGGTTTATATATTTTCCCTTAACTGATCCACAAGATTCTTTTAGCATTAGTGGAAACAATAAAGTAATTGAACTTTCAATTAAATTGTAAACAAAATTAGGCTACTGGAGAACTACTACAGGGAAAAATAAAAAGACTGATTTTGAAAACTGCAGGCAGAAAATATGAATCGCACAACTAATTTGCATGAGCAATTGCCTCGACTGCCTATGCAACATAAGGTATACAGTTTGCAAAAATCAGATCGCTTATATTTTGTCATTACTCTGATTTAGTTTCTCTTCTCCAAAACATTTTGGTTATGTTTGCTACTTAGGGACTTCCAAGTGAATGTTTGTCAACCCACACTTCAATTTTCATCATAGTTGTATATATTTTCTGATTTGTTGGTGTGTTTTGCTTAATAAGAGATTCCACATCTTTCATAGGTTAGCAAAAGTCCAAGCTCTTAGGAATAGTTATGAACAAACATGTATTCTCATATTTTTTTTTAAAAATGTGCAATTTTAAACGGCACTTTGTGACCTACTGCTGAAAAAATGGGGTTTGCAATGGAACAAATTGTATAAACAGTTAAAAGAGGACTGTGTGTACTTGAATGTCTTTCAAGTGTTGAAATTGGTAATTTTTCAAGATGTACCCTCAAATAATTTGGTAGGGATGTGATTTGAGAGCTTTATAATACATTATTAGGAATAATATGTTGCTGAATGTACTTTGTCTAAAATCTCCCAACAAACTCTGGTCCACCTCCATCAGTTTATTTTCATGGAGTAATCCTGCATAACTTTAGTTACACTGTGGAACAATTAATTGAGTCTTATCAGTAACCTTTCTTGCAGAATTGCTTTAAGGTTTACATGTTTTAATGATGCAAAAAGGGATAATAAAAACTTTTTCCTGGATTAAGTAGCACTTACTTTGTTTACATGTTCAGTATAATGGTGGGTAACTAAGGGGAGGTTCCCTTTTAAAAGCACATGAATTGTGCTCTGGGGAGTTAGTTGCCAATGTGCAAATTGTGCTGTAATATTGTACCAAGGATCAGTGAAAGTGTTTTATCTTTTTTAATGTAGTTTGTATTGACCGGGTTTTATAAATGTCAGAAAACAGTGTGTTGTATTTTGATCTGAAATTTGTGTATGGTAAAGTAACCTTTGCTTTACGTATTGGAGGTCCGTTCAAAACTTGAAATATTTTTAGAAGGGTGCAGACCAAAAGTAATTGTCTTAAAGGTGTTTAATAAACTAACAAAATAAAACATTAATGGCTTGAAGACTTATGAATTACTCCATGTTATACCTAATGCATCTTTTTATTTTTCTGATTTTTTTTTAAATGGTGAAATGTAGTTCCCTATAACTTTGAAAGTGAATTTTGATTTCTTTTAAACATGATTACTGAACCACCAAAATTGATTATTTCAAGTGAAATTTTCAGTGTTCCCCTTTTCTTCTTTAAATGGAAGGTTAAAAAGAGGACACAACTTGAAATCTAGTCTTTTTTTTTAAATGAATGATTAGTATTTTCAGGTGCTCCCCCTTACCCTGGGTCCCTTTGCCAATTTTTATGATTTTACACTCACATTTTCCTGTCTCAAGCAGCAGCAGAAAAGGAGGGAAACCTTTTTAAAATACACACACACACACACACACACACACAGAGTGAAAACTTAACTATGCACAAAGTGCTGTCAAATATACAATAGATAAAAGTTTTCAAAAGCACATAAGTCACATAGGCACTTTTGAAACTTTTAACCAAAGTAACAAACTTAGAAAAATAGATGGGTAAATAGGTCACATAAAGTACAAAAAGGTATATATGCATTCTGTCCTTATCAGGCATACTTTATATTAATGTTCCATTTATTAGGGGTAAGTATATGATTGATAGATAACTATTAGTCCAGGTCAATATAACACCACTTATCGATGTAGTTATAATCATTTATAACACTCAATATTCATCTCTGAAACATGGGTATAACAACATATGTTAATTATTAACATTGTATAAATGGTACCTTAATATAAAATATGATAGAGATACATTTTGCACTTTCTTGGACTATTGGGGCTTACACATCTTTCATAAAAATTAGATTTGGGTAATAAATGAAATTCAGAAGGATGGATCTTGGGAGAAGCAAGAGGATGCAATTTGAAGTACTAGGTAACAAAAACCTAACTAGTATCAGAGTCACAAGTTCTTCTATAGGTTAGAAAGAGTTCTGCATGCATGACTGAAAGACCCTTCCTTCAGTGCTGCTTCTCATTAATCAGAAGCTTATCAGTTGTCATGGTGAGGCTAGAGAAGCAAGACACAATTCTTCACCAGAAGCCATGAATTTTTGTCCCAGGCTCTTCACTTGATCAAACAGTCAAACCTGATCTTTTTTCCGGCCGACCCAGATTCACTTTTTGCGTTCAGTGAAGAAACTATGGCTCTGACCATTTTGGAGGCACATCCTCTCCAGACGCTTCTCTAGAATGGCTCCTTTATGCAATAAAGTATATTAAAGAAACCAAAACTGGAAACCAAATTCAGACTTGCTGCAAGTGGGTGCAGCTCCCACAATTTCACTTGCTTGTATTAGGACTGTTTGGCCCAATTACTTTTGAATAACTGGTCAATTAGTGTTGCACAGATTAACTCACCCTATTTAACCACTAGCAGCCCTACATGGGTGTATGGCTTGTAGATCTTTTGCTGAGTGTGATAAACAGCAACATCAATAGATGGTGACTGGTTTGATATTTGGAATGTCATCTCTCTGCTGTGCTTCAGCAAATAGTTAATGCTGTGGTGTGCATCTGTTCCTGTGTACCTTACTTCCTAAGAGAGCCACTTGGGCTCAGTCCTGGGAGGTGCGAAGTCCCTGTCAAAGCAAGTGAGAGTTGGAGGATGCTCAGGGCCTTGTGGGAAGCACTTAGTACCTTAGAAGATACGACCCTGTAATATGAAAGCTGGAATTCCAGAAATGATGCCTTGTCCATGCCCCAGGTAACTGCTATTTTGGTTGCAACTCTAGCAGAATTTGGAGTCCTTAGGATATGGAATCTGTCCTCCACCCTCATGTGTGCTCTTAGACTGCCTAAGCTTAATTTCAAAGGCCTTTTATTGAGGCTGAAACTCAGGCCCATGTCCTCCTATCTTTCTTCTCTGCATCTACCCCATCCCAACCCTCCAAAACTGAAAACCGCAAACTGCAGATCTGGCACCAGAGGGGTTTGAGGAGGGTAGACTTAGTGGCTATCCTTGGATCTGGCCAGCGGTAGCCCAGACTGCCCAATTAATGTCCTCATACGTCTGCCAATATGGCTAAAACAGTTTCTACTTCCATGAATGAATCCAGGTCCAGTAACAAATTTGTGATGAGGTATCAGGTTCCTTCCAGATACACAAAACTCAGCAGCCATTTAAGCTGTCTGCCTATAACGTGGCTAAGCGGCAAGAGGAGTGCTCTGCTCAAATTGTGTTTAGCAGAGAGAAATACTAAAAAGCAGACAGGTTGCCCTTTCATGGTGGGGTCTGCATGCTGTTCCCCCGATGTCATTGGAATCTGTCTTTGGAAGGATGCTCTTCCTATCAGTAGATGGATAATTTCTCTTTTAGAGAGCAAAACCAAGCTACCGACCTTATATTTTATATATCCATAAATAGGCTTTCTTTCCAAAAGTCTCAAAGTAATTTGTATGCTATCGGGGGTGGGCAGTGAAATGCAGCTAACTATAGGGTGGAGGGCAACATCCACTGCAAAAGTAGTGAGAGGGTGACATTTTCGTCTGAGTCTCCAAGGGCTAAACTCTACAATTATGAAAATAGCTTTGGGCTCTTCAGTGCCCATTCGCACCTTGGCTGAGATCTCCTGTGCCCTACACTGCATACCAGATAGTTCACTGCCAGTATCTATCTTAGTACGACAAGGCGCTGTCAGTAGTTCCAGCAAGACGTGGTATTTTCAGACCTGATGGTTCAGGCTATTATGCCATCCACTGTGTGATACATGGCTAGAGCATGGAAATCTGTGGTCCTGTCTCTGGACTTAGTGTATGACCTTGGGCAAGTGACTTAACCTCTCTGTTCCTCAGTTTCCTCATCTTTTGCAAAGTGCTTTTAAGATCCTTGCATGAAAAGTGCTATGTCTATACATTACAGTACTTTCCTACCTGCACTCTTTGCAAATCATTTGGTTTTTGTCCCCTTTGTGGTTCAAAAATTAAAACAAAAAATAAGCCTCCACTTTCTGGGTGGGGTAAAATAGAGTCTTCAAGCCTTCGGGGGAGCAATATCTCCACTGTACATGAAAGGCAAAGGAAACCCAGCAGCAGTTAGGATTCCGGCCCGTGGAATAAAGATAAATCCAAGTTCAACCTCCCCTCGTTGTTTCCAAGTCTCAGTGAGACAGAGGAGATACGGCAGAGCCCATCTACGCAGCAATAACCATGGGAACACCAGCAACAAAAGTAAATCAACATTAGATTCTGTATCATCGAGCCCATGTTTACACTGGAGCCCTCAGGTTGTCTGCACCAACCTTCCTGGCGGTTGAGTTTGGATCTGTGCTTCTTGTTTATGTAGCTTTTGCACTTAACAACAATAAAAGGT